TCCCAGCAAACCACAGAAGGGATAGCCTTATATTCCACACTCTTGGGAAAAGCTGATTAGAGCACTAACTGACCAACAACCTGTCTCTTTTTAAGACTCTGAACCAAGAGACACCAAGAGAGCCCAGAAACTGAGAGGTAGTTAAACTGGACAAACATGCAAGATAGTTAAACTGGACAAACATGCAAGATGAGGACTGAAAAAGACACAGAGACAAAAATTGAGAACTTAAGAACTCAGAGACGAAAGATACCACGAGGCCCCAGAGATGGACAGAAAAACACCAGGTCCTCTAGGAGAGGATTCTAAGATCTCTATAATAAATCCTCCTTTATCTGAGTGTACTTGAATGTACACTTGATGTCCCTTCAGTGTACTTCTGCCTCTTTTAGCCAAAAGAGGTTTGATAAGAAAAATAATAGCAAAATAACTAACTGGTCAACCATAATAAACCAGTATTCCCAATGTGGTTTGTTCTGAAATTGCAACCTCCTGCACAGTCTCTTACAATAGTTTGCTTAGATGTCACCCTACTCCTATCCTTTGTCTTGAAGTGGGGAGTGACTGAGGCACACTATTGGGAAATGTAAACTAACACATCCTTTTTAAAGGACAATTTGACAGTATTATACTGTAAAATGTACAAATTATTTATTCAGCAATTCACTGTTGGGAAGTTATCTCCCAAAAGGGCTGTCAGACAAGTGCACAAAAATTAAGTTAGGAAAAAAAGGAAATACAATACTATATTCGAACACACATCTGTTTACATTTTAACACCAATAAAATTGGGATGCCTAATACAATCTCTCGTGGTTAAACAGCAGTTGTGACACCTTGCTACCGATGCATCAAAACATAAAGAGTGGGTGTCAGCAGGTTGAAAAAAACAACCTGGAGACAATGATGGGGCATTCTTAAGAAATACTGCGATCATGAAGACTCTTGGTGGTGAAGAGGAAGAAGTATGGAAAAACAGGAACATTAACAACTGTGGGTTGAAAATTAATAAAGAAGAGTCTGAATGTAAAGAGCTGTCAGGAACATCTTAACTAATTTATGTCACTTGTAATTCTCCTGTTATAAAAGTGACACATATAAACATACAGCACAGAGTCACCTATAGAGCTGTTTGATTTTTTTCATAAATGGTACAAAGAAAAAAACTTAAATGATCCATAATTTCATCAACCATGTAACTGTTCAAGACATTAAAGCAGGGCCAAAAATAGTTGCTGTACTAGTCACCTGCTGTATTTTGTTCATTTGTCCTCATTTTTAGACTATGGCCATTCATAGGTTATTACGTCTACTTCATAGATTAACAACTTTATTACTTAAGTTTGCAAAATCGTGTTTGCTATGTAAATCTCCAATTTTTAACTGGTTAGGGTTCAGTTAGAAGGTAGGAACAATGTAATAAAGAACAGTTAAATTTCTAAGATTTTTTTTGTTTTTTTTAAATTTTTTGTAGAAATGAAGTCTCACTATATTGCTCAGGCTGGCCTCAAACTCCTGGGTTCAAGTGATTTCCGACCTTGGCCTCCCAAGGTGCTGGGATCACAGGTGTGAACCATCAAATCTGGCCTATGGACTATTTAACTCCAAATGCATATTTAATATAAACACTGTGGGAATACAGAACCTATAGACTATATTATGGACTGAATTATGTTCTCCCAAAAATCCCTAAATGTGAGTGTATTTGGAGATAGCACCAATAAGGAGGTAACTAAGGTTAAATGGGGATTCGTACGGGTGCAGCCATAATCTGATAGAATTTGTGCACTTAAGAGGAAGAGAAACCAGAGCCTCCTAGGAACTTTTAAGTACTGTTTTAAATATTGAACACTACTGAGTTTTTTTTGTTGTTTTTTTTGTTGTTTTTTGAGTTGGAGTCTCACTCTGTCGCCCAGACTGGAGTGCAGTGGCCGCTCCCGGCCACCGCAGCCTCGACCTGCTGGGCTCCGGTGATCCTTCCGCCTCAGCCTTCCAAGTAGCCGGAATTACAGGCGTGCGCTACCACGCCCGGCTGATTTTTTGATTTATTGTAGAGATGAGGTCTCGCTGCCCAGGCGGGTCTCGAACCCGCGGGTTCAGGCAATCCACTCACCTCAGCCTCCCAAAGGTGTGGGATCACAGGCTGAGCCACCAAGCCCAGCTACTACTCAGTTTTAACTAGGGATTACCCTCTCCTGTCATAGCCCCAGTATCAAGAACAAATATTCTCCTTCATTCCTCTCTACGTGTTCATCAGTGAAAATGCAAGCATTCTCAGTTTTAGTATCTCAGAGTTTTGGGGCTTCTGTGTCTTGCCAATGGGAGTAAAGGACAGGGACAAAGACTTTAGGATTACTGTTTAGCAGAGATCTAGCTAGAGAAGTCAAGTAGGAAGAGAAGGGACAGAAAAGAAACTGATGAAGAACTCTAGTGGAATGAGAATAAACTCAGAAAACTGGGTACTTGGGCTCAAACCCCCAAAATGCTCTTTACTAGCTATAGATCTTTGGAAAATTACTTTATTTCCTGTGATTCAGTTTCTTCATCTGAAATATCAGAAATAGAATAGAAATAATGAATTATACAGAGTTGATATTGGGGTTAAACAAGACAGCATAGATACAAAGTCTAGACAAATGAAAAGATGTTCAAAATATTAGGTGAATTAAGAGCACAGTTGCTCCGATATAGTTATCTACAGAGTATCTTACTTATTTACACAATTCCTCCCATTTTAAGAGGTATCCCAAAGAAGAAAAAAGGGTATGTATTATCTTTGAAATCAGACAGACCTAGGTTCAAATTCTGTCACTTAGTAGCTATGTCATACTGGGTGAGTTACATAGCCTCCCTGAGTTTCAAATGGGGCCAACTTGATCTTTCAAATGGGGCCAAGTATGCTCATCTTTTAAAAATTTTTATTTTATTTAATTTTTTTTCAGACAGTCTCACTTTGTCACCCAGGCCGGAATGCAGTGGTACAATCATAGCTTACTGTATCCTTAACTCCTGGGTTCCATTGATCCTCCCGCCTTAGCCTCCTAAGTAGTTGGGACTACAGATGTGTGTCACCAAACCTGGCTAATTTTCTAAATTTTCTGTAGAGATGAGTTCTGACTATGTTGCCCAGGTTGGTCTCAAACTCCTGGGTTCAGGTGAGCCTGCCACTTTGGCCTGCCAAGTACTTGGGATTACAGGCATGACCACTAAACCTGGGCCTATGCTCGCCTTACATGATTTGTATGGAATAAGTCAGATCAGATATTTAAAATGCCTGACCTATACAAATACTTATATTATAAAGATTTCTTTACAAATTGAGTTAGTCTCAATTCAAATCTCCACAGATTTTTTCATGCAATTTGACAAAGTGTTCTAAAATTCACCTGGAATAGAAGATACACAAAACTATACAAATAAAAAAGAACATCAGGAGAATTTTGCTATTACATATGAAAATAGTATAAAGTTAAGGAAAAATTAAATCAGTATGGTATCAGCATAAATATAGACACATAGATCAATAAAAAAAAGGATGAATTCAGAAACAGGCCTAGGTATGGGGATTTCACATATCATAAAGATAAGATTAAGAACAGACTATTCAATAAAATGCTGGACCAAGTGGCCACCACTAAAAAAATAATTAAATTCCTGTATCATTCCATATACAAAAATAAATCTTGGGTAGATCTAGTTCTAAAAGTAAAAATGAAATAATCAAAGAGAAAATATAGAATATTTCTAAGAGAGTTGAAGAAGGCCCTAAGGGGAAAAAACTCAATCCATCACTCTCATCATTGAATAAAAAGCTCACCTCTTTTATTTTTGTATTGCAATTACTTCCATCAAAAGTTAATGAGATGGAAGAAGTAAATCATAAAAAAATCTTTGTGGTCAGATGAGGTGGTTCATGCCTGTAATCTAGCACTTTGAGAGGGCAAGGCAGGAGGATCCTTTGAGCCCAGGAGTTTATGAGGTTGGGGACACAGTGAGACACTGTCTCTTAAAAAAAAACAAAAAATTTTTCTGAACTGTACTTTAAAAATTTTAGCCTTATAAAGATAAAGGAAGACTGTATCAAGAATCTTTTTTTTAAAAAGGCAATTTCTCTTATATTAATACTAACTCCAATGAAGCAATTTCCTACTGAGTAAGTGGGCATTTTAGTCATCTAAGTGCTGGTAGTTACAATAACACATAGCCTAGAAAGGAATAAAATACAATAGAAAAATTCAGTTTAAAAACAAACATATACTACACTGTCATTCAAAATTGCATTATGAACTGAGTTTCTCAATCACTCACTATCACTGCCTAAGAGTAATGACACTTTAAAATCTAGGGTTTAGCTGGGTGTGGTGGCTCACATCTGTAATCCCAGCACTTTGGGAGGCAAAGGCAAGAGGATTGCCTGAGCCCAGGGGTTCAAGACCAGCCTGGGCAACTTGAAGAGACCTCACCTCTACAATAAATAGCAGTGCACGGTGGCATGCACCTGGAGACCCAGCTACTTGGAAGGTTGAGGTGGAAGCCCAGCAGTTTGAAGCTGCGGTTGCCACGAGTGTGCATGTCACTGGACTCCAGCCTGGACGACAGAGTGAGCCTCCCACTCAAAAAAAAAAAAAAAAAAAGGAAAAAGAAATCACTTAATTCAGCATTCTGAAAGTGTACTTTTTGTAATGCAATAAAGAGGAAAAATGTATTAACTGGGCTTTTCTCTTTCTTTTTTTGAATGACAACCTTGGGGATTATGTTTTAACATGTTACAAAGTCTTTCAAAAGCTTTAACTCAAGGTTTTATTCATCTGAATGGCTTCAATTACGCATTATCACAATTTCACAATGATAAAATGCTTTGTAACTAATTTGCAGCAGATTCAGCATCTATAAGCACCAATTAGGGGAATGAAAGATATCACCGGAACCACTTCCCATCATTTCCCCTTTTCCTGAAGATCCCAGTTAAATCGGCCTCTCCTGGTTACCACTGCTACCAGATGATCACCGCACCTTTTTCCTCAGGCTCAAAATTTGGCTTCCAATGTCCCACCCGTGTAGTAAGTGGGTAATCTTTCTAGGTTTGACAAGAAATTTTACTGTTGGCATTTACCAGGAAATCAACATGACACAAAAGTGGCTAACAAGAGCCCAGAACTGAAGCTGCAGAGTCAGAGGAAGCACGGCAAAAGTCTTCCCTTTAATGGAAGCAGAAAGACAAGGTCTGTTAGATCTTCTATTGGTCTTCTCACTCATTCAACTCTAGTCTTAAATCAAAGCCAGCCTCCTATTTCCTAACCCCCAGCATCCAATAAAACGACTGCACTTTGGTCTTTCTCACACAAGAAAGTTTCTATTCCAACCTTTCCTGTCTTTAAGGGAGAGGGAGCCAGGGAGAGATGGTTAAGCTGGGTCTCGGGAGGAAGCTTACACCTAAGAGAAAACTCCCGGCTAGCATCTGACATGCCTATTTTACTTTAAAAACTCTTCTCATGCCATTTGTTCTCAACGTTACTTTCCACAAAACAAAAACTCTAGAAAACAACCTAAAAACGCGAAGTGCGTGCCCGTGAATCGGGACGGAAGGGCTCCTTCCTTCAGACGCGGGAATTGTACCGTGAAGTGTGACTTCTAATCAGCGGGACCTCCGACGAGCACAGCGGGGATCTGGCGGAGAGAAAGGCCCCCCGGG